TTCATTTATTTATTTATTTATTTGGATTTTTTGAGACAGGGTTTCTCCATAGCTGTTGTTTCCTGTCCCGGAACTAGCTCTTGTAGACCAGGCTGGCCTCGAACTCCCAGAGATCCGCCTGCCTCTGCCTCCCGAGTGCTGGGATTAAAGGCATGCGCCACCACCGCCCGGCTTCACCCAGTTTTTTGAAAAGTAATTTTTAAAAATTCCAGTTGTGGTACTGTATGTTTTTAGTGGTTCAGGGATTTGTGATACACACCCTTAAACTCAGAGAATCCACGTAGACTCGGTATGGGAATGCACGCCCTGCGCCAGGTCCGAGTGCTGTGCCGTGGCGAGGCGCGGACCCTCCCCACCGGCCCCAGGCCTCCCATTTCCATCCTCCCTCCTCTTTCACTTCACATCTTGCTCCTCTCATCTCTTCTGAGAAAGGCTCATTTTTGCTCACTATCTCGCTCTGAAGCGTAGGTCGTCGGGGTTCTAGCCAGTGTAGCTATGAGGAGTTAACCACATTGTGTCTATAGTTTAATCCTGAATGCTTGGCCTGGCATTGGCCAGAGTGCACTAAAACTTTCCAAGACAAAAATACCAATAGCTGGAAGAATGAAGTCGTCCTTCACGATGTGATAGAGTGACTATCCTAAGTAACGCTGACTTATAGCAAGGTGACATTTTCCAAGAGGGTAAACATTCTGCATTATCAGTCCAAAGCAGTTAGGTATATAAGGCCTTTACAAAGTACTTTACAAGGAAGGTCAGCTTAGGGACTCCTTTCTCCCTTTCCCTCTCCTTTGTTTTTTTGTTGTTGTTTGGTTTTTGTTTTTTTTTGTTTTTGTTTTTGTTTTGTTTTTTTTGGTTTCTATGTAGCTTTGAATCCTGTCCTGTAACTAGCTCTTGTAGACCAGGTTGGCCTCGAACTCACAAAGTGAGTTCTCTGCCTCCTGAGTGCTGGGGATTAAAGGCGTGCGCCACCACCGCCCGACATCCTTTGTGTCTTCTTGTGGGCTGTCTTGTCCCTTGATCGGACTCAAAATGAAGTTAGATTTGGCAGATGGAACTTGGACATTTTGATGCACATTTTTTGGGGGGGGAGGGTAACTTACTTTAGAACCACTTAGATGTCAGGGCTGGGCTAGGGTTGGAAAGGTTGGAAAAGAGACAGTTGGCGTTTTAGCTCTAGAAGAGAGTGTTGACACAGAGAGCTATTTGCAGGAGGCTGAATTGAGAAGGGATTCCCCAGTGTGGTTGAGCATCTCTGGGGTTCAGGATCACATGGGAGGGAATTCCGTTCTGAGAGCCCCTGAAGGAAATCATTGGAGACGGGGTGGGGGCAGACTCGGTTATCTGAGTTTAGCAGAGTTTTCTGAGACAGGTTGTATTCTGTCAGACAGTGGTTAATAGAGAGGTCCAACTGAGAGAGCGCTCAGAACTGACTGGGCACATTTCCAATCTACCCATTAGAGGAGAGCCTGAGGCAAAACCTGGGTGCTCTCTGGTGGGCGCCCGTGCTTAGGTGGTGCGGGGTCCTTCATGCATTTTAGCCGTTTTGCACTTGAGGTGAAACGAACTTAGGGAGGAGGTGGTAGGGTGGAGGGCAGGGCGAACAGAGAAAGAAGCCCTTGCCTGTGGAGAGGGAAGCCGCTTCTTTCCCCCTGACGACCACGCAGCCAGAGCCACTGTGATGAACACTCGGGGTAGAAATAGGTAGAGGAGGAACATAAAACACCAGTTGGGCTCTTCCGGACATGCAACCCACCCTCCTCCCTCACAGAAAATAACAGATGAGCCCCAAACCAAACTTTTGAAACCGAAAACATGGTACTAGACAGAGCTGTTTGAAAACGCTCAGTGTCTTGGTGCTTGCTGGGAAAGTCCGGTGTGCTCCGTGGGCAGCCGTGTGACTAATCTGAAAGTCTTGGGAACACCGGGTCACCCTCATTCTTTGGGCTCCACTTGGAGACAGAAGAGGTTCAGAATCTTTGCTATTCATAGGGTGGGGCGGAATCGTGCCCCTCCCCCAGGCTCTCCTCCTTTAACAATCCTAACAGTTCCTCCCCGTGTGTGTGTGTGGGGGGGGGGGGCGTAAATAATGCTGACACATCCCAGAATAATGAGGAGCATGTGGACCATGACTGCTTTTAGCTAAAACTTCTCTGGAGATTTATTTAGGCTCCTTAATGATAGAGGAGAGGCTCAGAGGCCTGGCATATGGCTTCAGTTTACAGTTACAAATGGTGGCCTCGGGGACGAGTGTGTGCAGAGTTGGCCACGGAGGAAGAAGAGCGCGTCCAGAAGAGGGTTTGTGTTCTTTGTGGCGTTCCTTTTGTCGCTAGAAGAAAAGGAAGTCGAGCGCGCTCTGTGTCTGTGAGAGTTAGGTGAGACAGAGCATGATTCTGATTCCAGGTGGGCGTGTCACAGACTAAACCAGCTTGCTTCATGCTTGAGTATTTTGGTAAAGTTTCATGTTGGTTTCCACAGGCTTAAAAAGAAATTATCCCTTTCATCTTTTCCTTTTTATTTATTTTGTTATTATTATTTATTTATCTTAAGTTAAAATTACACCGCCCATCAGATGAATCAGGTCCTTATGCAGTTAGGTATGGGTACTTTTCTGTATCTGTGGATTCGAGCATCCTTGGATTGAAAATGCCAGGAAAACACATCATATTTGCACCGAACATGTGCAGACTTTCCTTTCGCCGTTAGCCCACACCCGATATAGATCGCAGCTATTGGTGGCCCTGGCTTCGTAGGAAGCATTGCAGTCACCTAGAGATGGTTTAAACTGTTCCGGGAGATGTGCAGGGGCCATTTGCAAACACAGCATCATTTTATAGAAGGAAGGGGCCTGAGCATCCACCGTTCGGGTGGTCAGGGAGAGTCAGGGAGGGGAACGACAGGAGGTGACAAAATGACCGCACTGGATCTAAGCTCCCCGGCACCCTACCTTACCTCCCTCCAGCTTTCTTCCTGCATGCTGCCCTGTCAAACTGTGCCCCAGCCATACGCAGAGACACTGTAAGCGAGAGAGTAGGGTCAGTTCATGCTGGCTGTCCCTTGCTTGAGCTAGTCTTATGAGATTTAAAATGAGTAAACATAACAGATTGTGGAAAATTCTAGTGAGTGGAACGGCTCATAGCTCCCAGGGCTGACCTTTCCACTCCCATCTATAGTCCTATAGCATGACTACTAGCATGTCTTTTGTTATTAATTTGCACCCTGGGTAGACCCCTTTCAGGTCCCTTTCCTTACGCCTTCCCACTGTGTGGAACTGCTCAGAACCCTGGTGTCTCTGGCCTTTGCTTATACCCGGAAGCTCTTTGCCTTGCAAATTCATTCTTTGGAACTAACTTTTCCACCCTTGACATTCCTCCACCTCCAATGCCTTCCCTCTTGGGGTTCCTGGCTAGCTCTGCCCTGCCAGCTTTCTCCGTTATCACTAGGCTTGAGTTATTCCTGTTTGCCTCTTCTCTACTTTCAAATGAGAGCCTCGCGGAAGAGGCTGAGGATTATTTTGTGTCCCCAATGTGTTCTTGACGCACACTGAACTTCCAGTAAACGGCTGGTTAACAAATGAAAGGTAGGAAGTTGGTAAAAAATATTTATCGTATCACCCAGATTTTTTTTTCATTTTTTTTTCAACGACTAAAAAAGGGGGAAATTTACCTTATTAGTACAATTCGAGAAGGGACAGACCAACAGGTGAATTAGCCTGGCTGTCTTGATAGGGAAGTTCTGTTGTCGTCATAAGGTAGGATGAGAAGCTAGGCACCAGACAGTGGACAAGAGCTGCAGCGAACTCCACGGTACCAAGTGGTACTCAATCAAGATGTTGCATTGTGAAGGTCACTGCTCTGTTTTTAGCTTCATAGTAGTGACAACTATGTGATGTTTGAGTGTTTGTCTCACCTTTGGAAAAACTTTTCTTTTTGATTATTATATTGAGGCTTCTATAAGTTGATAATGGCTTCCTCTTTATATTGGAAATGCTTAAGTAATGCCCTAAACAATATGATCTCAATATTCTCCAGTTTTGGACATGCAATGTAGCATTTTCTCCTTGCTTCTCTGAATAACCTGGATTTCAATAGAAATACACACACACACACCACACACTACACACACACATGGGTTAAATAAAACAATTTTAAACTACAATAAATCAGTGTTATTTTCTTAGTCAGGAATGCATGGGGGCGGGGCTGGAGAGATGGCTCAGCGGTTAAGAGCATTGCTTGCTTTTCCAAAGGTCCTGAGTTCAATTCCCAGCAACCACATGGTGGCTCACAATCATCTATAATGAGGTCTGGTGCCCTCTTCTGGCTTGCAGGCATACACACAAAACAGAATATTATATACATAATAAATTAATAAATAAATGTTTTTAAAAAAAAGAATGCATGGGGAAAGGTAGATGAGTTTGAAAGGATGAGCCGGGCGGTGGTGGCACACGCCTTTAATCCCAGCACTCGGGAGGCAGAAGCAGGCATATCTCTGTGAGTTCGAGGCCAGCCTGGTCTACAAGAGCTAGTTCCCGGACAGGAACCAAAAGCTACGGAGAAACCCTGTCTCAAAAATCCAAAAAAAAAAAAAAAAAAAAGAGTTAGAAAGGATGGATAAATTGATTTATACATTTTAAAATTCGGGAAGAAATAAAATGTGACAGTTTACCGTTCTTTGAAGCCAATCACAGAGGCCCTTAAAGGACACAGAGTTACCTGCTGGTCACTCACTAACTACCTGAATGCTAAGGCTCTTTCCCCACATTTTTTTTCCTTGCAGCTTTGCTCTGTCAGATGAAGCGTACAGATCCCTCCGTGACCAAGATAAGGACCAATGCATACTCATTACGGGAGAAAGCGGAGCAGGAAAAACAGGTGAGGCCACCCCCAGACCCACCTTTCCCATAGCGGCTGAATGACGGCAATAAAGAAGGCAGGTGGCCCGCAGGAGCCAGGTGGCCGTAGCTGCTGTGTGTGGGTTTGATGCCCACAGTTGGTGTTCTGTGGATAGCGCCTCTCTCACGTGAGGGGACAAGGTACCATCGGGTACCAACCAGTATATCCCAGCCCTGGATTCTAGTTTTCATTAGTGCCATCTTTGGCCCCAATCATGGGCTTTATCTCTCCTTGACTGCGTGGCCTTAGGAGTTGACCCTTCCCAATGAGATGCCAATTTACTTTGGTTTGTTGCCCCTACAGCCATCCTTTGCCTCCATTAAAAACCGAGGGAACGTACCAGCAATGCTTGGTCTCTCTCCAGAGTCTCATGGTGCCCACAGATTTGAGATCATGCGGACGATGTCCCATATCTGTAGGGACAGGCCATGCTTCTTTCTTGTGCTTACAGCACGGATACCTGGTCCTGAAGGAGGAGATGGATTTGATCTGGTTGCTTTGGTGAAACAGAAGGGCAAAAAGGGGGATTTTCACGCTTCTTTGTAAAATGCTCAGAGACGAGAATCTCATAACTGGCTGTTCCTTTGAGTGTGCGGAAGTGTGGTTTCAAGTGTCTCCATCTTGCTTGGCATTTAATGGTCGGATTGAACACTTTTTGGATCCTCCTTGATCAAGAAAAGAAAGTTAAAAAGAAAAAAAAAAAGGAAAAAAAGAAAAGAAACTCTACCACAGCGGTACAGTCGCCTCACTGAGACCATTTGAGCCAAGCCTTGAAAACGTTACCCAGCTTCGAAAGAACCTTTCCCTCTGGACTGACCCCCTCGTACCCTTTCCCACAAGCCCTGTCATGAACGGCGGATGTGAGGTGCCCAAACTTTGCTCTTGAGTCCTGAAGATACAGTGCACAAACTCTTTGAGGACTATGGGTGCTGAGTGGACAGAAATTCGGGGAAAAGGACCCGTTTGCGAGAATAAGTAAGCATAGTATCTTATGGCTGGAAGACCGTTATAGGCCATCCCGTGTGAAATCCTCCACGTGGGGCAGCCAGACTCCTTTGTGGTGATGGAGAGATCACCAAACTGTGTTTGTCAGTTGGATTCAACCAGGAGGTTTTTCTTCCCCTTGAGCTGAATTCTCTTTCTGCTCATTGATCTTCAGTCCTATATAACCTTCCCACATTTTATTCTTTCTTCTTCCCGGGACAGCATTTAGTCATTCGAAGCCGGCCAGATATCTTCTTATATCGTTTTAAAAATATTTTTTTTCCATACGATAAACGTTTACTTATTTATGCAGACCTCTGAGGGCCTGCTTGGTGAAACACTGCCATAATTAGAGAAAGCACATAAAAAGAATGAACACAGCGAAGGAAAGAGACCCGGAGCTTCCAAGAGAAGATGGTTAGGAGAATTGGGTTTTTCTTTAAAATCCCACACGGTTGAGCTTAGAGTGTTTTAGAAACATCTTGATTTGTAGAGTGGTTTCATAAAATGACATAGCAAGAAATAAGCAAACACTTTCAGTTTGGGTCCTGTTTATCGTGCTGTTATTCCTTCTCTCGGTGTGGATCCTGGGACTCTTCACACAACACACGTATCGACCCCTACGGGTCTTCCTAGCAAGGAGAGAATCTTTGCGGTTGGCACCAACACTTCTGTGAGCCACGCCTTTTCAAGTTCGTATTTACTTATTTCGAGCCAGTCTCTTGGACATCAGGCTAGCCTTGAACAGTGTGCACTGTCGTCAAGGATAGTCCTGAACTCCAGATTTCTCCTGCCTCTGGCTCCCAAGTGCTAGGGTGCTAGGATTGCAGTGTTTGCCACCACACTAGTAGCGATGCAGAAGGTTACTTCAGATCTACCGGTAGAATCTTGTACCTCGAAACAAAACAAAATAACACACAACTTTGCTGCTGTTGTCGGTTTGAACCTTTGATCCTTGCTTTGCCCTCTTTTAGAATTACTGTCACCCTTGGGTGACTGTCGTAGTAGTTATTCTACACCGAGTATTTATTTAGGATGTACATATTTGTATTGTGGGGAAGCTGAGACACAAAATGGTTCAGCAGTTTTCCTAAATATCTTAGTTTGCACTTACTGTGATAAAAATACCTTAACAAAAGCGCTTAAGGGAGAAAGGGCTTATTTTCACTGACAGTTCCAGGTTACAGTCTGTCATGGGGGGGTGGGGAGAGGGAGGAGTCCCGGGGTGGGGAGGAGTCTCCAGCAGCTTGAGGGAACTGGCCACATTGTATCTACAGTCGGGAGCCGAATGGAATGAATGAATGAATTCACGTCAGTGTTAAACTCAAGTTCTCCACTCACACAGTGCCAGGATCCCTTGCTTTGGGAGTGCCGCAACCCTCAGTGGGCAGAGATCTTCCTACCCCAGTTAACGTAGGACCGTTTCCCATTGAATGACGGATACATGGATATCCCGGCAACCTGCTCTGACAATCTCTTCCCAGTGACTACACTGTATCAGGTCAGGGCTGCAGCAGAGCTGGGATTCTGAAGGTTGGTAGTACAGTTCTGGAGTTCTGGCTTTCACACGTTACCTTTTCTAATGCCTGCCTGTTTGTGTCCTGATGCCTCTTTTTGGTAAGTCCCCTTCACCTCGTCTCTGAAGTCTTTCGTAGTCAGGTGATGGGATAAATCAGAGGAGCTAGCCTCTTGTCTACATTTCGGTGATCGGCCAAAGTACCAGTTCTCCTGGAAATTGTCCAGAGTAGTTACTGTAGTTCTTTAGGAGGTCTGTCCCAGAAGCCAATTGGTTGTGTTGCTTCATCTCTTTCTTTCTCCCTTCACAGTCCCTCCTAAGGTTGTTTCATATTCTCGCTGATTATGCGCACGTCTTCTGCATTTATACGCCCACCTGCTATGGCTTATTTGATCTCCGAATGAAGGTAACTCATTCCTGCCTGACTCGTGCACCCGATACATGACAGACAGACTCACCACGCACGGAACAGATCCCATTGTCCTTCTCCTTTGACGGTGTTCGGGATAAGTTAGACCAGCGTTGTGGCGCAACCTCTTCGAAAGCTACACCTGGGGGTTGTTGTAGCTCCGTCTTCTCCTGTAGCTTACACTCAGGTCCACATCGAATCCCATCCGTTCTCTCTGGAATCAGTTGTTCTTCCTGTTCTTTTTGTTCACATGGAGCCTCTGGTCCAAACCCAGAATTTCCGGTGAGTGCTGTCCATAGCCATTCTAAGAGCCTCTCACCCGCTTCCTGGGTACCCCAGTCTCTTTTACAGACCTTGGTTCTGACTGTTCAGATCTGTCTTTTCACTTTAACGGGACAGGGTCACCTTGGGGGATGATTTCCTCCTTGCTTGTCACTTCTTCTGTCTTGTGACACAAGGTTAGTTCCTGGGAGCAGCCACAGTACCCCATCTCCTGAGAGTGGCCAGTGGAGTTGGTGGTCACCAGCACAAGCCTACGTAAGCGTTGGTACGCTTGTTTCCTTCCTTCCTTAGCTTCAGAAGCATAAGGTGCTTCCTTCTGCATGCTGGCTCCTTTTCGTTGATTGTATTTGGGGGTGAGGCAGGCCTTCCCTGCAGGTAGGCGTCTGTGTTCTTGCTGCTTCTCGTGCCTCTCCCTCACCCCGTGATGTCCAGCAGCCCACCTGTTCGCTCCTCAAAGCCTCCCTTCTGTTTTCTCTTGAAAGAGATGCTTTATCCCACCCTCTTCATGACTAAGGCTTCGTGTGCTTTTAAGGCATTCTGCCTATATCGGTTTGTTCCTGAGTGAATCACTGGATGTGGGCTGCGGTTACTTTGATTGGTCCTGGCCAGTTCTTCGCCTCCTTTGGAGCATACGTTTCCCGGGAGTCAGCAGTCTCCTCTTTAGCCCCAGCAATGTAGGGCATCCTTCTCGGAACTCAACTCTGCCATTTGTTTCTGGAACCAGGTCCTGTTGGTATTTGCAGTTTTCCAAGAGCAGGAAATCAAAGGCTAGAACACCCCCATTCCATCAGCTGAACGCCTAGCCGCGTGGCTTCCTCCTTTGTTGCCCGTGGGTTTCTGATCAGTAGCTGCCACGTGGTTTCATGTCCTCCATCGTCACCTCTAGTTCTTTGTTCCCTGTCTGCTGTCCTGGCTGGATTCCTTCCTCAGGCACCGGAAAACAGCGTGGCATTGCAGGACCATCCTGTTTGCTGCGCACACACAGCACAGTGCTGCTCCAGCCGGAAAGCTGGAAGAACTCTCAGACCTTAGTGGTAAGGCCAAGGCCACGCCCACCAACTGTACTAGCAAAGATAGGGACTCTGCTCGTTCGTGTTAACGCCAATAGAAGAAGCAAAGTATCGTAACTAGGACATTTAGAAAGCTCCTGACATGAACTGGTAGTGGTCTATAGGCTGACTGGCTTTCAGCCGTGCGGGTGCTTGGATCATCTTTTAACATGCCCCAGGTCACGAAGTTTTGTGCTTCAGCTGTCCATTATCACCAACCTCCTGGTGTGAGGAGGTGGTGCTGAATCCCAGAGCCCCTGGTTTCCCAGCCCCATTCAGCTATGCTCTGGGGAGCTGCTGACCTCCAAGCCCCTTTCATCATTAAGAGACATCAGTGACATCTCCTTCCACCCGATCCCCGGAGAGAGAGCCCAGTTTTCACTGTTAGCTTCTATCTTTCCCTGTATTTTCTTTATTTTCAAAACTGGCCATACAAAAACTGCTTCCAGTTTGGCTGATTATAAGTTGTCATCGGACTCTAACATGGAATAAAGCCCAGGATTTGTGTGTGTTTAAAAGTCTCTGTTTCCAAAACCACAGAGAAACCCTGTCTCGAAAAAAGCAAAAAAGCAAAAAAAAAAAAAAAAAAAAAAGTCTGTTTCAGCTGGGCGGTGGTGGCGCATGCCTTTAATCCCAGCACTCAGGAGGCAGAGGCAGGCGGATCTCTGTGAGTTCGAGGCCAGCCTGGTCTGCAAGAGCTAGTTCCAGGACAAGGCTCCAAAGCTACAGAGAAACCTTGTCTCGAAAAGCAAAAAAAAAAAAAAAAAAAGCCTCTGTTTCACGAAGTTATGAGAAAATAAAATGACAGAAGTCAATGCAGAGATGTCGTGTGGCCCTGTGAGGAATCTGGGGAGGGCTTTTCATCTCGGCTCTGAGGGAGGAGAGAAGCCAGACCACTTTTCCAACAGCACGTCATCTCAGTCGCAGGTTTAATACTTGGAGTTCCGTGTGCCTGCCGCTGTTCAGCTTGTGTTAGTACACACATGACAGGGAACAGACTTGGCATTTCCAGAGGGCCTGAAATACACGGTGTCCGTTACATGGAGTATTTTCATTTCGGATCTGTGCTTAGCAGTTTAGATAGAACTGCCGAGCGGTGTCAGAGGGCTTATTTTATATGAAGTAATTAATTTAACTGGGTCATAAAACCCCCTTGGCAGAGGATGATGTTATTGGTCGTAAACACTGGAGACAGTCTTCTGCCGCCGGGTTGTATAATACGGGCTCTCGGGGAGAGGCGTGAACTCTCTGAGTGCTTTGGGGGTGCCGTTTAATTCATCACCGCTGTGCTAAATAAAAAATTCATCATGCCTTTTAAAAGGGCCCAACTCTTTCGAGACGGTGAACGAATTTGGAGTACACGCCTGTGAATTCAGCCTTCATGGCAGAGGCAGCACACGAGGAACCCATCAGACCTGCGTGTCTCCAGGGACCCCAAAGTACATAGTGCACCTGAGAACAGTACCCTGACACGAGCAAACACTCTGAAGCTACTCAGTTCCTAACTCCACAGTTCCATACGTTTCTAGGAACTCATCAACTCTCTGCTTGAAGAGTTCTGGAGCCTGCCTTGCTCGTTAAGATCTCCGAGTCTAAACCCCCACTGGCCTCTCTCCAGTTCATGTCTTCGGTGGCTCTGTGAGTTAGCCGTGAGGCTCCCGCTTGCTGTGTGTGGCCTCGGCACCGAAGCGTGTTTCAGAGCCCTGGAAACACGTGCCGAAGCAGGGCAGCTAAGCGGGCTCAGGGCCACAGTGCACCCAGCTCTGTTTTGTTTCTTCCTGACACATGTATTTTGTAGGCGTCACCAGCGAGTCTGTGGCTCTCTTCAAAGGTAGATTACATATGATTTATTTCAGTGAAAATGTCACCAGGCAGCATCTCCTTGTAGTAGCCTGCATCTCTCTGTTTTCATTCTTTTTTAAAATATATATATAATTTGTCACAGGGATCGAACTCTGTCTGCCAGGCTTGACTGCAGGCACCTTTACCCACCAAGCCATCTCGCTGGCCCCATGATTGTATTTCTTATTGCAAAATTTTGGCCTTTTGTTTTCATTGATGGAGTTCCTGGTTGATTTGGATTTGCTGTAGCTGGACTGTGAAGCTCTGGGGATTCTGAAGCAGGAATCTTTTTAAGTAGCAGAAAGGTTGTTTTATTAGACACAAATGTGGCCTCGTTGGGGCAGGCATTCTTACTTTTTTGTTTTGTTTTTCGAAACAGGGTTTCTCTGTGTAGCCCTGGCTGTCCTAGAACTCACTCTGTAGACCAGGCTGCCTTTGGACTCAGAGACCCACCTCTGTCTTCTGAGTGATGGGATTAAGGGCATGTGCTCCCACCACCACCTGGCAGACATTCTTACTCTTAATTCTCAAACACCAGACCTTTGTAAGCTGAGTCCCTAGAAAAGCTTAGGTATCTTAATCAAGGAGATGGAGCGCTAGATAAATCCATCAGAGTGAGTCTGTCTGTCTGTGTATTCATGTAAATGTATGGCCCTTTCTATTTGCAGTCTGATATCCATGACTTGTCTGTGACATATGTTATTGCGTGCATCAATGACCACAACTGTTGCAGATGTCTGCTAACTCCTGGACAGATTTACTAAGCTCTCAAGATGAGTTTGCTCATCCTGACAGCTCCCACCCACCCAGTGCTGAGACTAAATCCAAGCAGTGCCACTCAGTGAACATGGAGAGAGAGGTTTTAGTGCCTGGGGAGGCCCCATGCTTTGGTCTCAAGATCACAAGTGTCATTGTAGTACCCCTTCTCCATCACCTCCACCATTATATATGAAGTACATATAGTACTTCAAAGACTCCAGAGTTATAATCTACCGTCTATAAGTCCTTTTGGCTCCTTATGGGAATTAATTGTGGCATAGATACTCTGATCTAGCGGTAACTTGCTATTTGTCTGTTGGTATGTGTTTAACCTTAAACACCCTACTATGTTTTATGAGAAGTGATTTTGGCCTTGAAGATCGTGTTTTTATCTGACTGCCAGTGGAGCTGAAGGTTCAAATTCGTGCACACATAAACGTGAATATGCCGGGGTTAGAAATGATACATTCAGAACTGATTCTAAGCAGTGTGGTTACACTTTGCCAAGTTTAAGAATCTGTATTTGGGGGCTGGAGAGATGGCTCAGTGGTTAAGAGCACTGACTGCTCTTCCAGAGGACCCAGGTTCAATTCCCAGCAACTACATGGCAGCTCACAACTGTCTAAAGATTCAGTTGCAGGGGATCTGACACCTTCACACCAATGCACATAAAATAAAGTTAAATAAACCATAAAAATATTTTTTAAAAAAGAATCTGTATTTGTAAGCTTAACAGTCAGTGATTAAAAAACTCAGTTTTGAACTCTGGAGGATGCTCTCCAGTTTTTCCTTATCAGCAGCACTGCATTTATAGGGGTTATTATGTGAAGATTTGGTTTTTTATAAATATATAAAAGATTTGAATGCAGATTCAAATTTATCTGAACTTTAGAACCAGAAGGAAATGAAGCTGAAAGCCTGTGTTAAGCTTGCATGGTCATACGAGTGATCTGTTCCTGGCCTGGAGAGGCATGGAAACATCCAGACAGACACATGGCCGTGTAGCCTGTCCTGTGTTTGTTGACTCTTTCTTCCAAAGTAGCTGTGTCATGAACTCCTTGAGTTAAAGATCAGATATTATGTCAGCGATAAAAAATGTAGGCGTTAAAAATGTAGGCGCTATCGCTTTTAGAAAGAACGGCTCTGTTGGAAGAAATGTGCTCATATTTGTGTGCGAGGGCCTGGGCTCTGGCGGTCAGAGGGCGGCCCCACGGACTCCTCCTCGTCCACCTTGTGACTTCTTCATGGGCTCCGGGGATCCCAACCACGGCTGTGAGGCATGAGCAGCAAGCACTTGTACCCCCTGAGCTTTTTGACAAAAATTTATTTTTAATTCCTGTTTCCAGCAATTAATTATTAAAATGAGCCGTGGAGAGGAATTCCTGATGGTAATTAGGAGTCTGAGCATAGATAACTTTCTACCAACTTAGAAGTAAGCTGCTGAAACATGAGCCGCATCCTTGAACTATACTCAAAGACTATTAGGGTTTCTTAAATAAGTTTTACAGCTAGTAAAAGTGCCTACATTCCTATTAAAGTTAAACCATCTCTACATGCCAGTGGGTTCTGTAGGCTTATAAACATTTCAACAGTCAGGTGATATAAGCCCAGTGGACATCCCGAGAGATCTGCCCCCAGACCCAATCCTGTTTCTGTTTTGACCACACAGGGGTCCCCAAGAGGCCACATGGGTTCTAGCACCAGGCACCACCAGTGGCTTCTCTCTCCCCACCGAGGCAGTCTATCCCAGGTTCATCTGAACCTAAGCAGGATTTCCAGTGGAGTCAGTGTAGCTGAGTCTGAAGTGTGAGGCGTGGCTGAAGAAAGCTCCATGGTTACCAGAATAAACAAAACAGCCGGACCTTTTATGTTTTCTGTCGGTTTGCCTAACAGAACACTTATCCTTTTATCCTAAGCAGCGTCTGTTTAAGACTGTTATTTTTGTCTATAAATAGATTAAATTTGCTAGTTTTGTAAAGACTGGAAAGACCAGAAATTGGTCTGAAAAAAGGAAGCTATAATGGTGAGGGGATGGGCAATGAGGAAGAAGGGCCAGGCAGTGTGCGAATTGGGCTGCAGATGTAGAATATAGACATCATTTGTGGAGATCCTGGGCAGAGCCCAAGACCAGCAGCGGAGGATGCCACCATCCAGAAGATCTAGAAGAGGGGGTTCCCCTTCAGATCGAGGGTAGAGGGAAATGTGGCCACTGGAGACTCAAGAGAATTGGAATGTGTAGTTTGGAGACTTTAAATGAAGGCTATTTCATGTGATCTTGCAAAGATAAAAAGATTCTCCTTTCTGGCTGCTAAAGGGGAGAGGGTAGCGGCGGATCGGATCATCACAGACTGCTAGAGAACTTGTAAGGATCCTTTTAGGTTACCCGGAAGAAAACTAGACCGAGCTTTATCGCTAGCTGCTGAGCGAGTACCCGGGTTCCCAAAGGAGTCGTCTTAGGAACTATGTCGATTCTTGCTGTTTTCCACATCCGTCTTAGTTGACCATGTCCTTCAGGAGTCTACGTGTACGTGACAGCCGGCGCGTGCAAAATGCTGTTGGGCGCGTTCGTCCATTGTTTCCCCTGTGGGGAGAGAGGATGGAATCCCACGAGAAACAGTCATGCCAGGATAGCCTTATTTCGTCCCTGTGCAATGGCATCTTCATATACAAGAGAAGGCCTTCTTCCTCCTCCTAGATAGTGGCACTAAATAAGGATTTGAGAATGTGCTGGATATTAAGATTGGTTCCGTGCTCCCTGATTGCCCGGACCATGCTGTTTTGTTCTGATGGCACTTGGTTGAGAATTTCCTAGATGTTGACTGTGGATCCTTGGAACCAGACGTGTGGACAGGAAACAGACTCAATGGCTGAGAAACTTGAAGGAAATGCAGTGCTGTAGACACAGTATCCAGGCGCCTCGGAAAGGCTCTGAGAAGCCCCTCGATGAGGACACTTGCTTTCCTGTCCCCCGCCCCCCCCCCCACGGTGGACCTGGGATCACCTTCTCTTTGAGCACATGCTGGTGTCCTTTGGAATGAAGTGGTTCAGTGTGGAAGATTGTTGAGGGAAGGGTCACTGACTGGCAGGAAGGATTAAGCAAACAACACAGCGCCTGTCCCTGTCCCCACATGAGCTAGGAGTGGTCTGCTCTCCGCGGTGGGTTCCTCAGCAGCCTGCCCTTTGTTTTTACTGGTAAAGCCTACAGCAGTGACTCTGCCCTGGCAGACTGCGAATCCCCCATTCGCTGCTCTCTTTTGGTATTGAAGAGTAATCAGTCTGGCCCAACTGTGAACAAACCAATTTGCCTCAGAAACCGTTTTTGAAGAGAAGCCGTTCTTTTAAACTTCAGAGATATGTTTGGCAAAGGCTGAGCAAGTTTTGTTTTTTTGCCTTGCATCATGTACAAACTATAGTTGTATGTGCTTAATCACTTTGATAATGTATAGTATGATTCTCCTGCAGGGACTTTTGTTGACCATGTAACTTAGCCTTCATTTTAACAGCTCAGAGGTAAACTTCCAGGGCAAGCCCTGTCTTAACTGAATCGATGGTATGCCAGCTGAAAATCCACAGCTGTAGATAGATATGCCTGAAACACGGTTTCCACCCAGAAGCAAAGACCCGTGGGATCCTAGTGAGTCCTCTCTTCCCATGGGATTCAGAGTCTCTTTGTGACTGAGTAACAACAGGTCTGTCTCCCTCCACAGAGGCCAGCAAGCTGGTTATGTCCTATGTGGCAGCCGTGTGCGGCAAAGGAGCCGAAGTGAATGAAGTCAAGGAGCAGCTTCTGCAGTCCAACCCTGTCTTGGAAGGTAAGGGTTGCATGAGTGTGTGCTTGTTGCGGTTCAAAAGGGTTGCGCAAGTGTTTGTTGCAACTCAAACAGCCAACTGTGTTCAGGATACTTCAGCTGCCTGGTGAAGTCAGGGAGGGAAGAGGACACAGTCCTGGCCACGCTCTGGAGGAAGTAAGCCCCACCCTGGCGATGCTTGACTTTAAGTACTTAACAGAGGGCATAGCTAACCTACGGAAAAGGAGCTTTCTTGCATAGAAATCCTTCTTGCCATTCGGTCTTCATTTAACGCCCTTTGATTTGCTTTTCAGAAATGGGCTGGTACTCACCGTTAATGGTGCAGTGATATTTTGTCATTCATCATAATGCCTTTGACCAGTTATTTTTGTTTCCAGGGAAAGCCAAAGGCTGCAGAAAGCCCAAACCTGGCTGTAGAGGCATCTCCCAAGCTCTGTTCTTAGCTCTCTGGTATATGTATATACATACAGATATACACACATACACATATATAATACATACACATATAAATATACCCATATGTGTGTATATTTATATACATACACACACACACACACACACACACACCCATTGTGCCTAGGCACTGTTGTGCTGAGCTGGTCTTTGCTATGAGCACAAGGCCTGCCTTGTACTTTTATGACCTCTCCTTGGCAGGTGCCAGTTGCACCTTGTACTTGTTAGGGTTGAAAATGTCTCCAAACATTGGCACCTGTCACCCCCCCCCCCCAAAGTCAAAAGCATCCTTTTAGAATCCGGGCTAGAGGAACAGTTTGGGTCCAAACATTGGCACCTGTCCCCCGACAACGTCAAAAGCATCCTTTTAGAATCTGGGCTAGAGGAACAGTTTGGCTCAACCCTTTGCTCAGAGCACAGGACAAGATTGGGGGTGGACGAACGTGGAGCTTTCTGGGGGTTGGTAGGGCTGGCAGCTCTTGGCATGGAGGGTCAGAACCCCTCCCTGTTGTCTTTTCTGCTCTGGCTCAGCCCCTCCTTTCTTCCTGGAGACGGTCTTGAACCGTGAGCATTACTCGGAAACTCATTTTTCAGAGGAGACGCCATGCCTGCTGGCCTGGCTGGCAAGACAGGAAAGACACGAAGCTCAGGAAGCCGTTAACGCTTCGATCTCTACTCCGTTCCGTTCCTTGCCCGGCAGGGTTCATAAGAAGTGGCATCTCTTCCTTTTTCCAGTCTGAGACTTGGGCTTTCTTTGCTTCCTGCCCCTGCGTGAGCTGTATTTCCGGCATGCTTGTTTTAGGAATGCCGTGGTGGAAAGGGGTGGCTTTCCTTGCATCTTTTTCTAGAGCTGTTTTATGTGGTGGGTATTTGCAGCTAGGCTGCAGCGCAGGATGTGGAAGAAATGTCCACCGTGGGTGTTCTTATCTTTTCTGGGAATGCTTTGCCGCTACTGTAAATGAACGTTTCCAACAAGGAACTCAAACACACACACACACACACACACACACACACACACACACGCAGAGCAGCTGTGGAATGTGTCTCGGGTGTTCTAGAACGGAGCGCTTGTTTCTGATTACCAGGCTCCCTGTAAAAGACTCGAGTGTTTAGGGTTGTGTTTGATAATGTGCAACTCAAGCTTCTCTGATGAGAACATGGTTTATGGCTTGCAGATGGGACTCTGGGTGCATCTTCTGGAGCAATCCTTCGCTTGCCCCTGACCTTCAAGCCACAGCACACTGACCTTTATGTGTCGGCATCTTGAGCTGGGCTTTGGACCTGGCCTAAGTAGTTAACTCGGGAGGCCTACATGATACCAAAGCGTGGGGGATGTCATGGTTTAATGGGGGCCAGGTCACGTGTCCCCTGTCATCAAGGTTGCCTTCAGGGAAGCTTTTGGTTGGCAGAATGTGAAGAGAATCGGATCCCGCCCCCTCCACCCCCACCCCAGCATGCTTCCTTCTTTGAGTGTTGGCAAGGTTTCTCCTCTCGGGGTCCTAGGTATCAGTCATCCTGTCTTCCTCCGAAGGGAGAAATTGGTGTCAGGAACTTTTCAAACCATACTCAGCCCAAGCTTCTCAACATAAGGAACCTTCTCTGTTGACTTTGTCAATCTCGTCTTCACCCATCTTGAGCCGACTATATATATGGTGTTTGAAACAGGGTCTGGCTGGCCTGGGATTCCCTATGTGGACCAGGCTGGCCTTCAGTTTACAGAGATCTCCCTCCAAGTGGTGGGATTAAATGCTTCCACTACCACACCCAGCCGTTAATGTGTTTTTAAGCAAAAAGCACAAAACGGGATGAGTTTTGAAATGGCTCAGTGGGTGAAGGCACTTGCCCCTAAGCCTCACATCCTGACTTCAATTCCCAGCATTCATTTGGTAGAAGGAGAGAATCAACTCCCTTAAGTTGGTCTTTGACCCCCACATGCCATTCACAATAAACAAACAGACAAATGTTTTTTAAAGACACAAAACAGTGGGCTCAACATTGGGTTTAGCTGCTGACCCTCATTGTGTTCCCTAAGAATGCCCCCTCTCTCCAAGGTGCTACTTTCAGGACGAGACCCCCTCCGAAGTGCTTGTGTTCTGTGACAGTTAACCCTAATCCTCTCCTCCACTTAACAAAGTCATGGAGGCTTCCAGAAATGCAATATCTAGCCTCGTATTCAAGAGGGTGGTTTCATTTAGCCATGTCCTCGTGAATACTTCCTAACTAGTTTCAAAGGTGGCTCCCAGATTCCTGAAACAGCTTCGGGGCAGGGTTGGATGGAAATGCAGGATTCTGTGTCTCTTCCGGGATGTGGGTTCACCCCCGGGTTTGAGGCGCACTGCTGCCTGCAGCACACCCACAGGGATGTGCCTGGGACTTGTATCTACGCCCCTCTGTTCTCTGTTTTCATCGTCCCAGGATGGTTTGTCAGTCAGTATCTGTGCGTGGGCTTGGTGGAGCAGTCCGTTTGCCCCATAACTATGCTATCACCTGTGTTAGACTGTCGACAGGGTTGAATGTTCTGTGCCTGGACAGACTCACCCTGGAGTGCTCCCTCTCCTTTCCAAGGGAGTCCCAGGACAGATGTCGTCTTGAAGCAGCTAAGACCGACAGAGACTTGGGCTGTGCTTTGTGGGTCACATCCGTTTCCTTTATTTTCTAGATTCCATGGAGGTCTGCCTGTTGGGCATAGACTAATAAATTATGTATTGCTTGTGTCTTATTTTAAATGACTCCGTTTTGACTCTCGGTATCGCTCTTGCTGTATTGGACTTACGTAATCACGATTATATAAGTAGCTTTGCTTCAAAGTTAGAGAGTTTAAGTTTTGCCTGCCTCTTGTGATCTACAAACCTCACCCACTCCCATCAAGCATACAATAATGGAAGATTTCTGAAATAGCCTTACCGACAGTTTTGGTGGAGGAGTAGAAACCTTACCTGTCTCCCACTGATTAGCAGCTCATCTACAGGAGTTAAAAGATGTTGAATTAGGCAAGATCACGTTTAGAGTAATGCTCGAAACAGTCCCGAGATCCAGGGCTGTCACCTGTTCTGCGTGTGCAAGGTTTCTCTGTGGTTTTGGAGCCTGTCCTGGAACTAGCTCTGTAGACCAGGCTGGTCTCGAACTCACAGAGATCCGCCTGCCTCTGCCTCCCGAGTGCTGGGATTACAGGCGTGCGCCACCACCGCCCGGCTCTGCGTGTGTTTCTAATAACTGACGGAAGTTTTAGCGGCTCACTAAAATCGCTGCTGGATACGTGTGTTTGGTAACCGTGGGCAGAAGTGCCGTCACCGTGAGCTGTGTTTGCCAGAGTTATTCCTGTCCAGTACTACGGCTGCTTTGTGTTTCTGCTTGGAATTATTTGTTTTTCTGTCAGCTTTCCTGATGCATCTGTTTCTTTCTCACCAGCCTTTGGAAACGCCAAGACTGTGAGGAACGACAACTCGTCCCGATTTGTAAGTATTTGTAGGAGCTTAAGTGCTAACACTAATGTTTAACCCATGTGTGTTTAAACAGGCAGATGTTTAATATTTAATATGCACATTTTTAAGGTCAGAAGAGGGCCACCCCCAGTCGGGACCCACTGGAAGGTCAATAAGAGCTCTGTGTTGTTTGCTTATTTATGTTGCTTTCTGAAATTCTTTCAGTTTTTCTTGGAATGACAATCTATTTTTATCATGTTTTCTCCTCATCTTCAATCATAAAATTCTGTGAGTTTAAATAAGACTATTTAGAATCATTTCTTTCTCATCTGGAGCTTGGCGTTTAGAAGTCATAATTAAGAATCAGAAACTCAGCCGGACAGTGGTGGTGCACGCCGTTCATCCCAGCACTCGGGAGGCAGAGTTAGGCAGGTCTCCGTGAGTTCGAGGCCAACCTGGTCTACAGAGTGAGTTTCAGGACAGCCAGGGCTGTTGCACAGAGAAACCCTGTCTTGGAAAAACCAACCAGCCAAATAACCAACCAACCAAAATAACGAAAAGAACCAGAAATTCAGTTAAAAAAAAAAAATAGACAGCTCAAGTGAGTGTCTAGCCCTCTGCTCCTATTGTTGGCCTCAGAAAGGACAAGATGTGTTTTTTAAAACCCCCCGAAGGTAAAATCACTAGGACTGATAAGTACGAGGGGCTGGGAGATCTGGATACTGAGAACCAGAGTTAACTAATGTCTTGTCATGATTGAGCCTGAAACACTGCTTCTAATCGAGGCCAACCCTCACTGCTCTTCCTGTCTTCTGTCCTGTAACCATCCAGCTTGCGCCTGCTTGTTGGGGGACTTGGTTCTTGAGCTCCCCTGGGCCTTTGTTCTTCACCAAGACATGGACACCGCCTTGGGAGCAAATGTGTTGAGTGTCACAGTGTTGTGTCTGCTCATTGCAATGCAGGGGGCTTTGTGAATGCCAAGCCATACACTCTGGTACCCCTCTTTTCCTCTGCTTTCCTCCCTTTCTCTTGTCTCTGTTCCTTTTGGTTACAGGACCTTGTTAAGTTACTCAGGTTGGTCTTGAACTCATTTAGTAGCTCAGGTAAGCGTTGAGCTCTCTGGTTTTTACCAAAGCCTTCTGTTTTGTTTGTTTGTTTGGTTGGTTGGTTGGTTTTTTGAGACAGGGTTTCTCTGTAGCTTTAGAGCCTGTCCTGGAACTAGCTCTTGCAGACCAGGCTGGCCTCGAACTCACAGAGATCCACCTGCCTCTGCCTCCCGAGTGCTGGGACTAAAGGCATACACCACCACTGCCCGGCCCAAAGCCTTCTGAGTAGGTGGGATTAAACATCTGTACCATTTGGCCTAGCTCCATGATGGTACTTTGAGATTGTTCCTTTTTTTCTTCTTCTGTTGTTTAGCCAAAAAAGAAAAGAAAAAAAGATCATTCATTTTCTGAGCCATCTTCTCCCCTCATTGCTTGTACCAGTAGGATCAGTTTTGGTAGTCTTTGATGCCTCTCTATCAGGAGTTCTCCCTTGCTCCCATCTTAGATCCCTGCTGGCCTTCTCCATAGACAGGTTGTCCGGAGCTTAAAGAAAGAAATGGTCTCAGACAGAAGTAACTTAGGAAGTAGAAGGCTAAATAAGATTCCCAAACCCAGGGCTGTGAGTTTTTCCATCGGATTAGCCCGGTACAGTCTCATAACCAGTTTGATGCAGGCCTTTTCTTGTGTGGTCACCTGGATAATCTCATTGCAGAAATAGAGTCTGAAGTGAAGTAATTACAATGATCAGGCTTTGTTATGTGATAGAAACTTAGTTTTGTTCGCCAATTGTGTTCACATGCACTTTTAAACATATTTACAAATGCGTGGCCATGGCAATGCAAAGACAGGAAACTGAATTGCTTAGAAGGTCAGGTGTTTCTTTTTTTTTTTAATATTTATTTATTATGTATACAATATTCAATTTGCGTGTATGTCTCCAGGCCAGAAGAGGGTACCAGACCTCATTACAGATGGTTGTGAGCCACCATGTGGTTGCTGGGAATTGAACTCAGGACCTTTGGAAGAGCAGGCAATGCTCTTAACCACTGAGCCATCTCTCCAGCCCCAGGTGTTTCTTAATATATATTTTTTTTTTATTGCAGTGGTATTTAAGATCCTGCAAATGGCTTGGCGGGCTGTTTAGCTTATTAAATAGCTTCAGAGAAATCCTCTTATAACTTGGGTATTAGGATATGGGATTAACACTTGATTATAGGCTAGATCATTTCGTGCCCAGCTTCTAGTAATTCCTCTGTTTGTGGTTTATGACTTGATTAATAAAACACCCAGACGCATGGTGTCATTTCATAATTGGATTCCGTGCCATCTCGTGGAATTGTGGTGTTGCTGGACAGAACCCTTGGCTCTGTTTGGTTAATCTAGAATGAATTTGTTGATCGCTTCACTGAGAAATCTGATAGAATCTGCTATGCTGTAGTTAAGACACATTGGTCATAGGTAAAACTTGTAAAACTGTGTTCAAGGACATCCCTCACAGTGTGTCCTGTAGGCCCCAGTATTTCTAGTTTGGCATATGGGACTTTTATTTTTTACTTATTTATTTATTTATTTATTTATTTATTTATTTATTTATTAGAATGAGACAGTGTTTTAGGGCTTTGTTGATTAGTGTTCTTCCTTAAGCAGCAAATAAGCATCTACCGTGTGTAGACTGATAACTAGGCACTGGAGGGCAGAGTACTTTTGCTTTTGCCCAATCTCTCATTCATTTTTTTGAGACAGGGTTTCTCTGTGTCACAGCCCTGGCTGTCCTGGAACTCTCTTTATAGACCAGGCTGGCCTCAAACTCACCTGTAATAATTGCTTTTTGGTCGTCTGTTCAAGTACCTTAAAAAGCCAGCCTAGGAAAGATTTATTTTGGCTTATAGTTTAAGGAGAAGCATCCATCATGGGTGCTGAGGCAGGTCCTGACACTATGCTGTCCATTCAGTGGTCCCCAGGTCCAGTTGCTTCCACAGCCTCCCCAAGCAGCCCCACCAGCTGGGACCAAGTGTTCAAACAGCAAACCGTAGGGAACATGTCCCATTCCGGAGGTGACACTGGGACCTTGGAAGGTGTCCAGCTCCTGTCTCGCTTACCCTTCCTTCCACCCACTCTGGATCCTGTTGCCCCTTCGTCCAGGGACTCCTGTCAAAGGTATCACCTGCAAGGCCGATCCTTCGCTCCCTCTCTGCTTTTCTTCCCTCATCTCCCGCTGCCTTGTCTCCTCTGTCCCCACCATTCTGGAGGTTCTCTCTGTCAAGCCCAGGACTGTCCCTGCGACTCTGAATAGCTATGGTCCTGTTTCGCTTCTTCTGCTGGAAGCGCTCAACTGTTTTCTCCAATTGGTGTAGCCAGCCGATGCCCAGATCCCTTGATCGCTACGGCATCCGGCGTCCTCCTTTCCAGCCCGTTGTAAAGTGGCAAATCTGATCCTGCCTTCTTCTTTAGGAGCCTTCAGTAACAATGGCTCATGTCAGGAGAATGTCAAAAAGTCATGCTAACCTGACTTTGGTCTCCAGCCTGAAGCCCCGCCTCACTGTCCCTAACAGCTGGTTCTTGGTTCTTATGCCTGCTCCTTCTCCTCCTCCTGCTCCCCCACCTCCCAGCAGACTTGGCGTTTGCCGTGAACTCACTTCTTCTGCTCCCGTCCTCACCCCTGGCATAGCCATCTGTGTTCATGAGCTGTGGTAGGCTTGTCTCTCCACCACTGTGTCCTGCTTACCAGGCTGTGAGCTCCTTCCCAGCAGGGACTATGTCTGATTTCTCGCTCGCCTTTCTCAACGTAGAAGAAATGATTTGGAGACATTCGCTCGGGGCCTAAGTGACGATTTCAAAGGGTAGATGGCAGTGGGAGAGGAGCTGGTAAGGGAGCGTCCATAAGCTAAGAAAATGGCACCAGTTGCATTGTTGACCGAGTGCCATGCAGTCAAGTCTTTTCTCTCTTCCTGTCACGTTTTGAAAATAAATATAATTCTTAGGAAAATTCTGTACATAGTATCTATCTGATTGTGATCGAGGCAGGACATGCAACAAAGCAAAAGAATTCCTTATTAAATACACATACTCTTTTCTAAGCACAAAGCAGATGCCACTGCTATTCTGCTCTTCCTGGTAACTCTTCGTCAAGACCATTGGAGGCTGTTTCTAAAATCTACGAGATTTAACGCCATGTGTCTTATGATACTGCCCGTGGAGTGTAAGGTGACCCCGGGCTCTGTACAATCTACGTCAAGCGCCTCTCAATGGGATACGTAGTCTTTCGCTCTGAGCTTGTGGCCCGCATCATTGTGTTTTGCTTTGAACAGTTGGAAATCTGGGGGAGGGATTGCGTTTCACCCGCTGCCTAATGCGGAGTTTGTAACAATGACTTCAGACACATTCTGCCTATAAAATAAAATGAAATAATTTATCAGTCAGTTTTCCTGCCAAGACTAGTGCCCTTGTTTTCAGTCTTGATCTGAGACTGTCTCCCCTTTAGGAAGTTTGGAAATTATCTGAAATGGAAAGGTCACATGATGGAAAGGACTCCCCCCCCCCCCCCCCGTGTGCATGTGTGTGTGTGTGTGTGTGTGTGCGCGCGCGCGTGCGTGCCCGCGTACGTGCATGTGTACAGAGATCTGTTGTTAATTTAGCTACAGGCTAGACGGGTTCTAGGTGGTGGCTTTGCAGTGTGAATTATTCATGGAGGCTGTTTTGCCTTATGGGTAAATGAGCTGCCTTTCTTAATTACATCCATACAAAGGACTGAAAATGAGTTAGGATGCTCCCTTCTGAAGCACGCGGGCTGTTTTGGGATGCACTGACGGAGTCTCTCTTTGACAGGGCAAATATATGGATATTGAATTTGACTTTAAAGGTGACCCGCTGGGAGGCGTGATAAGTAACTGTAAGTATTTTACTTGACTCTTTTATCAGTCGCTTGAGAATGATAAAACAGGCATTTGTAAGTGGTGGACTAATCTAAATACTTCGATTGGAGAAAGGGGAAGAAGAGCGTTTGCTTTAATAAGAATTGTTAACCATGGCATTCCAGATTGCTTTACAATATAATGTAAAATTATATATGTATATGTGTACTTATGCATGCATATATATACATAAACAGATACACACACACACACACATATATATATATATATATATTGTTTGGTTTTGATTTTTTTGAGAGAGAATTGTACTGTCTAATCCAAACAGGCCTCAAAAACGCGTGTATCCTTATACCTGGCTAAGTGTTATAAATTCATTTATTGTTACCTTTGGTAAACTGTTCAGAAATCTGCTGAAGTATTTGTACTTTATTCCTCACGGGCCTTTAAGCCAGTCTAACAAAAATATATTTCGTGACTAAAAATAAAACCGAGGGAATTTATTAATTAATTTTGTGGTGCTAAGATAGAGCCCAGGGCCTCATACACACTGGGCAGGCACACTGAACTTTACCTTAGCCCTAAAATAGAAATAATGGATTTAAATTAGTAGCTTTTTAAAGGAAGCTTTTCTCCTGTACCATGAGTAGGCCTTTATCTCGAATGTTATTTTGAGAACCGTGACCTCTTTTTTTAGGCTTTCTAGATAATGGAACTGTAATCCAGCTGTTAGTAAAACATGGATGCATTAGCCTCCTTCCCAGTGTGGAGTGAGGTCCAGGCTACGCGTAGCTCAGGGTCTAGGGCTTGTAGACTAGCCGTGAGTCCCACCAGCATGGCTGGCGTTGTGTGCCTTCTTGGCCTCCCAGCCAGGGAGCCAGGAACTCCCCTGATGTTTCTTTCTCCTTTGATTTCACGTTTCATTTATTTGGAAATGAATTGTAATGCAGGGGTTTATGTAACCCCGGCTGTTATCTTACTATCCTTGAACGTTCTGGGTTTTAGGGTCACGTGACCAGACTAGTTGCCTATAGAGATTGGGAGAGTGAAAATAACTAGTCTACACTAGACACGGAAATGACAGAGCTGTCTAAAGTGCCCAGAACACCGTCATTGGCTTGTTAGAGTATTGGCGTCTGTCTATATATGGGGGTGCAGATACTGGGAGAGGCCGGAAGAGGGCGTCGGCTCTCCTGCAGCCAGAGTTCCAGTGGCTGTGTAATCCTCACATAGGCGCCGGGAGACTATCTCATGTCCTCCAGAAGAGCGTTGGGCATTCTTAGCCACCAAGCCTCCTCACCAGCCATCCTCTTTAAGTGACCTAAGACCTAAAGTGGAGAGGAACTGGTCCAGCAGAAGAGGAGATGGGTAGCCAAGAACCCTCAAGCTGCCGGGGAGCGGGGGTGAGCTCCCCGATGCTGTGCAGAAGTTGGTGTTAGGAGTGATTTGTGCATCCCGTGTAGTGGAACTCATGGCATGTGTTGGGGGTGGGGGCACGAGGGATGAGAATGGGAACACACACATATACTTACGGATGTCCGCGACTGTGTGGAGGTCAGAGATGGGTGCCATTGTCTTCCTCATTCACTCTCTACCCTGTATTCTGAGACGAAATTTCTCACTGAACCTGGAGCTCATACGTCTGGCTCTACCACTGGCTAGCACATCCCAGAATTTTTCATTTCTTTGTCTCCCTGATGTTGGGAGGCTGCTTGTTCGTCCTGGTCACCCAGAACCGAACTGTATTATTTAAAGCACTGCTTGGCCCATTAGCTCTAGCTTCTTATTGGCTAACTCTTACATCTTAATTTAACCCATCTCCATTCATCTGTGCATCACCATGAGGTCGTGGCCTACCAGCAAAGTTTCAGCACATCTATCTCCAGTGGCAGCTCTGTGGCTTCTCTCCGACTCCACCTTCTTCCTCCCAGCATTCAGTTTAGTTTTCCCCGCCTAGCTCTGTTCTGCCCTACCAACAGGCCAAGGTAGTTCCTTTATTAACCAAAGGTGTTCACAGCATACAGAGGGAAATCCCACATCATCTCCCCAGTGATATTACAGGCACATGCCATAGAGCCCAGTAGTAGCTGAACGAGTCGCTGAACTTTAAAACGAAATCCTCATCTTCGTTCATAGATAGGACTAGCATTTCCTCATCTTTGAAATAACGGGAGTGGGTGGATGGACTCTGGTTCTTCCGCTTCAGCATTTTTGAAGTATGTAACGTGATTTTCCTTTTGGTCTGCCTCACTGTATACTGTGCTGTGCTGCGTATGGCGACGGCGCTGTGTGCTTGTAAGAATGTGGCGTTGTGAGGGAAGTAGCTTGAAGGGGAAGTTCTAATGTGAGAAGAAATTGTATAGGATACTCCCATTTCGATTATACGATTTTATAGGCTGAGTATGGCAGCGGAAGTACTCGTGCAGCATGCATCTCCTCCAGCCAGAAGCAGATGATGATGGCCCCTGCCAGGCTGCCGAGGCAGACCCCTTGCAGGGTATAGCAGCTAATGAGAACTGTCCTCAAGTTTAAGGCCACCATTCTCAGAAGCAATTCATTTTAATTCGGCAAACTATTCATAAATCCTTAGTGCTTTCTTTTTATAAGGCGAATTAATGCTAGTTATTGCATCATTAATGCCACTTATTACAGTAGCTGGGCATTGCACCGATGGTAGCATTGGACTTGTCCTTTCACTGCGGAACTTGCATCTGAACATTCTGGAATTGTTTAATCTATAGTGTTCCCGAGGATTCTGTGAAGATAATTAGGAGTTAGTTATTTCATTATCAGCATGAGAAGATAACTTTGGATTATCATTTAAGTTCAAGTTCTAAACATAAGTCTCTTCCTGACCTAAGAATCAGAAGATTCTTACAGTATCCATGGAAAATAAATACCAAACACTTGGTGTCCATTAAGACTAATATGCCTGTGTGAATGAGTTTCATATGGTCTTGGTTACAGTTTGTTCCCACAAAAAAAAAAAAAATTACATCGAAACTCGTAAGCGGGAACACCCCGGTGGTTAAGAATATCCCTTGCTGTAGAGAGGGAAAGCACACATTAGTGGTGGGACAGGAAATTTCACCCCATACAGGCAGGGCTGACTCATGCGGGCCCTGGGAGCTGCCAGGCTGGCTTTGGTGCATGTAAAGCAGTGAGTGAATCGCCGGGGTTCTTGCCAGACCCTGACGCGTTAGCTTCTTGCGGGCTGGAGAAGAGCAAGGGCTTTGCTTTGTCTTGCAGAAGAGATGCGTTGCTTCCTTTCCCAGCAGCCACTAGGAAAAGCCCAACTTGTCAATGGCTCAAATGATCACCCTGAGTGGTTCAGGCACCCTCTAGACGGCTGTACATCCGGGAAGTGGAGAACAAAGGCCTCCAACTCATCTCCCCCCTCCTAAAGAGGGGTGGGATACAGTCTGGAGCACACTTGAGAGTTCCAGAGGCCCGAGGGCACGGTCCTTAAGAAGGCCGTGTAATTAAAATGGGAGATGGCAGAGGCTTCCTTTAATAGAGAAGATGAGACACGGGAGTGAGTGCAGACGTCCCACTGACCTGGAGTGGCCCCTCTAGTTGGCTACGGCTTGCTGCTTACTTACTAATTGGGTGCTTGTGGCCGAAGATTTCTGTGTCGTAGTGTTCTGAACTGGAACCTTTGAGAAACTAGTTTTCTGCTTCTTTTATAATACTCCCAGGCATCTTCTCAAATCTGTGATGCTTGGAAGCAATTTAGACCATGGTAAAACATGATCTAAATCTGCTCAGAGACCAGCACGGAGAGGATTCTGCTCTGGAAATAGGTTCTGGTTTCAAGTCTAAAGTGTAAACCAAGGTGAAAATTCTGGCTGCCCTCACCCCCGCTGGGTGTCACAGAAACGCACCCTGGATGACGTGTTTCAGCATTTGGGGCTTCTGCTTCATGCGCACAACCCACTGGTTTCTCATGCGATCACCGATGTCTATACAAGAGACAGCAAGTTACTGAAGTTCTCTGGCCCTCCCTGACTTCATCCTTGCAGTGGGAATAATCAAGCGTGTGTCAGGCTGGACCAGGGTCAGTTCTGTATTTATAGCTCCATAAAGTGCCTGGCACACAGTAAACCCTCAATAAATGTCTATTTCCCACTATTAAATGCCGACTTGTTTATTGTCTATATGGCCTTTCACCAAATACAAATTCTGTAGTGCAGAGACAACCTGTCTATTGCTGAGTAACCAGCAACTGAATAAATCTGACATCTTTCTCTCACACACATATACACCCCACGTATGCATACATACACACATGCACATACACCCTACACACGCATACACACAACACATACGACCCCCCATAAACACGCACCCCATATACACATACATTGCACATACACATAACCACATACACACATACCCCACGTATACACATATACTACACAAACATACACGCATATACCACACACACACACACACTGAATATCATACGTAATTTTATGCGTTTGAAAATTTTAATAAGCAAAACTCCAGATTTAGTGGGTAATTTTATCTATATGCCTTATTTTTAGGTTTCTGGGGATTGAAGGTAGGGCCTTCTTATGCACTCTACCACCAAGTCAAATTCCAGCTCTTTTTTTTCACTGTTTTCCGTGCTCACCCGGCAGGCAGCATGGGGGAGATGCACTCTGCATGTCCTGGGGATGGAGCTCAGGTTTCTAGACATGGTGTCTTACACCTTTTCCCCCTGGGCCACTTCACGGCCCAGCAGTTTTATTTTAACAGCCTCAGTTGGATAGATTTTTCAGGAATGGCCCCACCAAATTCTCTTTCTGTGTCTCACCTTTGGATTGTCCCATCGTCTTTGACTCAGGACTTGACCGTGAGATTTGTTCAGTCTGTGGAACAATTGTCAAGGCGGGGGGGCGGGGGCCTAGCCAGACTTGGACTGGCTGCGTAGTGGAGTTTGCCTTTGCTTTCTCAGGAGTCTCTCTTCGCGACAGTGTGCACAAACATCTGTTTGGTACAGAAGAGGGTCATGAAA